CCCCAAGTGAATGGCAAGGAGATCCAAGCGAGAGCGTGATTCCTGAGTCTTGGGGGCACGGCGCTGCAATAAACTGTGAGAAGGTACCACGCGAGAGCGCGATTCCTGGATAAATGATGAGGGAGTTCGTTGCGAGAGCGCGTTTTTGAAATACACTGTGATGAAGTATCAGGCGGGAGCCTTTGTTGTTGTAGTTCGAAGGCCAACAGCCCAATCTGCGCCCTCTCGACCTGGCCGCCTGGGCCCGCCTTCCCGACCCGCCCGCTAGGGTCTGCCCGCTCGATCTGCCCGTCTGGTTTTGCGATTTGTTTCCTGCTCTTAGCCCTCATCCTAATTTCTCTCGTGTTCCATCCTATTCCTTCCCTCTTCCATATGTCCTGTCTTCCGCTGTTGTAGTGGCTGCGCTAAATGCACGTGGCAGGTAATGAACATATGGCCCCAAGGGGGCACGATCGAAGACGAATATTGCGGGCACCGAGGGCTTGAAATACACATGTTAAGTAGCATGAGAGCAGATAGGAGCGAACAGTCTTCAAATGATTATTGCTGTTTGGGGCCCAGCAACACAATTTAGTGACCCCACACTTTCCGTTGTAAAAGATCAGGTGCGAGCTCCGGGAGAAGCACCTCGATTGAAAAACACAATGGTCACCGGACACGGGGGATCAACAACTGTTTTTTCCAAATGAGAGTGTGCAGCAACGACAACAACAATCAAATTGAGACTGTTCGCTCCTATCTGCTCGCGTGCCACGCAACACTTACATCCCAAACCCTCGGCACCCGCTCTCTTCGTCTTCGATCGTGCCCCCTCATGGGTATATCAGTTTTACCTGTCACGTGCATGTAGCGCACGCAGCCTCTGTAACAGCAGAAAACAGGATGGATGGAAGGGGGAGGGAGAAGGATGGAGCATGAGAGAAATTAGCAGGAGGGGGGCTGGGAGCAGAAAGCCCATGGCAGGACCAGGCGGGCAGGCGGGCGGGCAGACCCTAGCGGGCGGGCCGGGAAGGCGGGCCTAGGCGGCCAGGTCGAGCCGGCGGGTTGCTGAAGCGTGCGCCTTGCATGAATCGCGAGGGAGTCTCGAGCGATAGCACGGTTCCCAAGGAAATTGTGAGGAAGGCCAAAGCGAGAGCGTGATTCCTGAGTGCCGAGGGCGCGCGTTTTGAATCAATTGCGAGGAACTCCCACGCGAGAGCGCGATTCCTGCATAAATTGTGAGGAAGTCCCGCGCGAGAGCGCGATTTCTCCATACACTGTGAGGAAATGTCATGCGGGAGCCGCCTTTGAAATCAAATTTTAATCATAAGAAATGATTGTTGGTCCCTCCTGCCTGGTAACTATTGCGCGTTTCCGTTGCAGTGTTCCTCCTGGGGTTCGTACCTTGTTTTTTACATAGGGAAGCGAGGGGCCGCCAAATTGCGTTGTTGGCCCCCGAACTATAACAACAACAACAACAACAACCAACAACAACAACAACAACATCAACAACAACAACAACAACAATGATTTTAAGACTGGTCGCTCGTACTGGCACGCGTGTTTTGCACTCTGTACATCCCAACCTTTGATGCCCGCCCATTTCGTCTTCGACCCGAGGAACTCTCGAGCGAGAGCGCCGTTCTTGAGTTCGGAGGCCTCTCTGGCCAAGGTCTCTCGGAATACAGATTGAGAAATATGAAATGGGAACCCTTGTCGCCGTGCCTGGGCCTCCACCAGCTTGCTTGAAATACGAGAAAGTCTGGAGCGAGAGCGCCACTCTTGAATTCGGGGGTCTCTGGTAAGGGGCCTCTGCGAATACATCTTGAGGCGATATCGAACAGGAGCCCCTGTCTTGGTAGTTGGGCTTCCACCTATTTGATTGAATCGCGAGAAGGTCTCGAGCGAGAGCGCCGTTCCTGAGTTCGGGGGCCTGCCAGGCCAGGATCTCTCAGAGGAAACCGTGAGGAAGTATCGAGCAGGAACCTTTAGTCATCGTGGCTGGGCCTCCGCCGGCCAACTTGACTGAATTGCGAGGCTCGAGCGAGAGCGCCGTTCCTGAGTTCGGGGGGTTCTCTGGCCAGGATGTTTCGGGGCAGTTTGTGAGGAGTTATCGAACGGGAGCCGTTTTCATTGTAGCCGGGCTTCCAAGTGTTTTTTTTACACTCAAGCCAACGCTCGCGCGGGAGCCTCGCTTTCAAAGAAAATGCAGCCGGCGTCGAGGCGAGAGCGCGCGGAACCGTTTCCGGAGATCAACAATAATATTTGTCATCAATGAGTATCCAACAACAACAACAACAACAACAACAACAACAACAACAACAACAACAATTACTAGCACGTGGGGACACTCCGTTCTCACCAGTGCCAGGGTTTTCATAGGAGGCGGGCAATACCCCCACTTTGTGGGGGGGCCCAACAACAACAACAACCACAACGACAACATCAACATCAACATCACCATCAACATCAACATCAACATCAACATCAACGCACATATCAGCAGCACAACAAAAACAACAGCAGCAGCAACAACAACAACAGCAACAGCAACAGGTACACCAACAGCAACAATTATTATTAGACTGTTCGCTCTTACTTGCCCGCGTGTCATTCAAAACGAGTTCCCCACACCCTCGATACCCGCCTTCTTGTCTTCGATCACACCCACTTTGGGGGGATTATTTCTCTTTGCGGGGGGCGGCGGGCCTAGACAGGCGGGCAAACCTGAACGGGCGGACAATCCTTCGTGGGCGTGCATGTGCCCGCCATTGTAGTTGGTGTGGGCCGTGCAAAAAGAGGAGGGGGAGAACGAGGGAGAGTGGGAGGAAGGGAGGGGGAGGGACGAAGGAAGAGGGAAAACGCCAAGAAAGATGGAGCGAAGAGGTGGGCGGTTGATTAGATGCAGAGAGAGAGAGAGAGAGACAGACAGTTAAGAGAGGTAGAGAAAGAGAGAGAGAGAGAAAGAGAGAAAAAAAAAAAGGGGGGAAGAGAGAGCGAGAGAGAGAGAGAAAGACAGAGGGAGGGAGGAGGCAGGAGAGGGGAGGGAGAAGGGAGGAGGGAGAGGAGGGTGAGGGGACAGGGCGGAGAGGCATAAGGATGAGGGAAGAGAGGAAGGAGAGAGAAGGGAGGAGAGGAGGGAGGAGGGAGAGGGAAGGGGAGCAGGAAGGTAAGAGCGTGAACGTTCGAGGAAGTTCTAGGCGAAAGCGCCGTTCCTGAAGGAAGTCTCGGGCGGGAGCCCACGACGGGCGGGCGATCTCCTGACGGGCGGGTCGGGCGGGTGGGACATTCAAGCGGGATGCCTGAGTATGGCGAGAGCGCGGCTACGAAGTAAAGTGTAACGGCGCCCTTGGCGCAGCGTGTTTCCTGCGCGTCGGAGGTGCGATGTCTGAATAAATTGCATGAAAGTCGCAGGCGAGAGCGCAATTCTTGAATAACATGTGAAGGGCTCTCTGGCGGGAGCGGGGGTCTTGATTAAATTGCAAGAAGTCTTAGTTCAATTTCGAGGAAGTCTCAAGCGGGAGCGCGGTTCCTGAGTAAATTGCGAGGAGGTCTCAGATGGGAGCGGGGCTCTTGATTAAATTGCGAGGAAGTCAGAGGCGGGAGCACCGATCCTGAGTAAGTTGTGAGGAAACCTCAGGAGCGGGGGTCGTGAGTAAATGTGGAGGAAGTCTCAGGCGGGAGACGTTGTTGCTGTAATCTGGTAAGCCAGGGGCGCAGTTTGAGCACCAAGATTTGCCCTGTCAAAAAACAGGGTGCGAGCGTCGAGGGGCACACTTTGATTGAGAAAAATATTATGCACTGGTGAGGGGGGATCAACAATAATTATTATTCATCAGAAATGACAATTCAACGGATCCCGCGTGATACTTCCTCACAATGTATTCCCAAGTCGCGCTCTCGCGCGGGACTCCCTCACAATCTATGCAGGAATCGCACTGTCGCGTGGGACTTCCTCGCAATCAGGAATCACGCTCTCGCTCTGGATTGCCTCACTCGCGCTATCGCTCGAGACTCCTTCGCGATTCACGCAGGACGCACGCTTCAGCAACCCGCCTGCTCGACCTGGCCGCCTGGGCCCGCCTTCCCGACCTGCCCGTTAGAGTGTACCCGCCCGATCTGCCCGTCTGGTTCTGCCATGTGTTTTCTGCTCCTGGCAGCCCTCCTGCTATTCTCTCTCGTGCTCCATCCTCCTCCCTCCCACTCGTCCCTTCCTTCCATCCGTCCTCTCTCACCCTGCCCGAGGGGCTGCACGACATTCGAGTTACAGGTACGAGAGAAACATACCCCCAAGTGGGCACGGTCGAAGACGAAGAGGGCGGATATCGAGGGCTTGGGATATACGTGTTGAGTGGCCCGTGAGCAGATAAGACATGATTAAAATGATTGCTGTTGGTGGTGTTATTGTCGTTGTGTTCGTTGTTGGTTTTGTTATTGTTGTTGTCGGTGGTGTTGTTGTTGGTGTTGCGGTTGTTGTTGCTGTTGTTGTTGTAGCCAAGAGGCCAAATATCCAGTTCGAGCACGAAGAACATCCCTGACAAAACAGGGTGCAAGCACCGAGGGGGACACTTCGATTGAAAAACGCAACGTGCACTGGTGAGGGGATTAACAATAGTTGCTGCTCAAGAATGAGAGTTCTATGACGACAACAACAGCAGCAACAACAACGTCAAAGACTATACCTAAACCAAGCCCGCCAGAGGTACGTACCTGGAGGCCCGTGGGGACCCGAGAATACAAATTGTCAGAAAACGTTCAACGCAACCTCCCTCCTCGATCCTCGAGCGCCAGGGGGGGAAATTCCGCAGAGGCCCCGATCCTTTCCTGGGGCCCATCCTGGCCGGTGTTTTGTCCCGCGTCGACCTGCTACGGTCCTCGGGGCCTGAAACTGGTTTCCAGCTGCCGAGCACGGCAAACTTTGTCGTGGAATTTGCATCGTCCAGGGCCGAGGGCAAAAACTTGGCGCCCTCGCCTGGCCCCAGCAGCCCACATCCCCCCCTGCCTGCGCCCGACGGCCGCAGGCACCGTGCTCCTCAGCAGCTGCCTGTGCCGGTCCGCTGCCGGCGGGGCCCCGGCGCAGCTGATCGCCGCGTTGGATGCGGTGGCGGCGAGCACAGGCAGCTGCCAGTTCCCTCGTGGCTCGAGGTTCGACGTTTCCCCACCTGACAGGCTGGGATCCTGCGGAGAAAATGGAAGCCGGTTGGGGGTCTGAGGTGGCCCAGCAGCGACCCTGGCGAGCAGGGAGGCGGGGAGAGGTTCGAGGCTCTGGGTTCGGGACAGTTTTTTGCCTGCTTCGGCCTCTGGGGCCTGCTGTCGGGCCCCAGGACCGTCAAGAACGGGCCCGCAGTGGAAAACTTCACCAGATTCGGCTAGACGTAAAGTGACCTTTCCCTGGAGTGGCCTCTGGTGCGGGCCCAACCGGGTCCCCAAATCGCCGAGCGCGCTGCGATATCAGCGGCTTGCGCGCTCGATGTTGGCTACCCCGCGCCCCCCGAGTGCCGCGCACCAAAGGGCACTCTTGCCCAGGGTCACTCTTGCGTATAGCCGACAGATGCACCCCGGGAGGGGTCCGAGGGCCGATTTGGAACGGCCTTGTCTTTATATTCAATTTTCTTGGCCGATTTTCCTCGGGCCCATCAAGTTCAGACCTCCGCACCCGACAGGCTGGATGTTCACATTGGCAGAGGAGCTCCCGACCCGCCTCGCAGACCCTGCACACCGCGGCCGCTGGGGCCGAAGTGTGGCGGCGCTCCCCTGGGTATCAAGCCTCGCGCTGTCGACGGGTGTCGACTGCATACCCGTGCTGCCGGGCCCACGGTGTGCCTGTGCTCGCCGGGTGTCCTTTCGTTTGGGGTTCCTGGGGAGCTTCCTGCCGCCACGGCTGGACATCCCCTCGAGCGCGTGGTCAGAGCATGTACCCCCCGAGGACGGGTCTGGGCGCCGAGTGAATCCCCAGACCCAGGCGTTCGGCGGTGGCGGCGAGCACAGGTAGTTTCCAGTTACCGCTTCCCCACTCCCCAGACGCCCCGCGGTTCGAAAGAGCCACGACGGGAGGTATTTGACGAGGTTTGTCGCCTGGTGGCCCTGGCTGGGCCTCAGACAGGTCATAGAACGACTCTGGACGAGAAGCCGTTGCCATGGGAGGGGTCGAGACCTCTGGGGGCCCATGCAGTCACGTCGTCGGGGGAGAGCTTGTCATTCCCATGCGACGCAGAATTCCCCACCGTGCACCGCGCTGCCGCTGCCATCGATATCGTACGTTTTGTATGTTTTGTCGCGCATGGCCGCCATAGGAGGGCTGGGGAGAATGAGAAGAAGACGAAGAAGAAGAAGAAGAGGAGGCAGATCCTCCGTGAGCGTCCAGTCCGATTCCGTGGCAAAGTCGCACTCTTGTGGGCGACCCCTCGGCCTGGGCTGGGTCGCCGGCAGCGCCACGGAGCCTCTGAAAGATTTGTGTTGCGTTCGCCTGCCTGCCAGCGAGCGCCCAGCAGCTCGACATGCTGGCGCCGCGTCAAGGGAAGCAGGGGCCTTTTTCTGAACAGCTGGAAATTCAGGGACAATCTGGAGCCCTGGCAGTGCCATCCCCTTTGGCGTCCTACGGCCCGAGTGAGGGCCCGATCGGCCCGGCGAAGGGCATGTCAGGGTGAAGGTCACATCCCGCACATTCGACGGCCTGGCGATTCTCTAAACAGCTTGCCTGGAAGGGTTCTATATCGGGCGTTCCAAAGGGACCTTGCCTTCGAGGATAGAAGGAGCTGTCACCTCTTCCTCGACGGAAGGTCGGCGGAAGTAAAACGAGGCCGCCTCCGCCGGCAGAAGATCGGCGGAAGGCGGCGGAAGTAAACGATGTGCCCCCAAGACATGGAAACGTTTTTGGTTCATGGTGTCCGAAGTCGCCCATGTATACATATATATATATAGGTTTATATGTATGCATACGTATCTAAAAATGTACATAGACATATATGTATATACCTATATATGTGTGTATGTGGTGTAGATGCGTGTGTCATGACCAGTTTAGTTGTAATGGTGTCATGCACATTGTTCTACAAGACTGGCGATCGAGCCCGTGCCCCCGAGATCGGTAGCTCACCGTTGCCCCCCCCAAGCCGAGCCCCCGAGGCAGGGCCCATGTCGGCTCTTCCGATCCGATGACCTTCGATGTCGACGGATTGCGAAACCGATTCCAGTCGACGTCGGACCCCGATTTGGATCCGGGGTGTCCCAAGGGAGGCCTTGCTGGCCTGCCGATGTCCGTCGATTCGACCTCTCCCGAGTTGGCTGCCGATCTCTTCCGGCCCGATCCCTTTCGATCGCCGATCCGACTTGTCGATTCGATTTTGGCCCCTCCTGCCCGGATCGGTGGTTCATCGCTCCCCCCCCCCACCGTTGCCTCCTCCTCCTCCTCGCCTCCTCCTCCTCCTCCTTCTCCTCCTCCTCCTCATTCTCCTCCTCGTCCTTCACCTCGTCCTCCTCTTCCCCCTCCCCATCCCCCCCTCCTCTTCCTCTCTCCTCCTCCTCCTCCTTCTCCTCCTCCTCCTCCTCCTCCTCCTCCTCCTCTTCCTCCTCCTCTTCCTCCTCCTTTTCCTCCTCCTCTTTTTCCTCCTCCTCCTTCTCGTCCTCCTCCTCCTCTTCCTCCTCCTCCTCTTCCTCCTTCTCCTTTTCCTACTCCTCCTCCCCCTCCTCCTCCTCCTCATCCATCGTGGTCCCTCATCGTGGCCTCCAAAACAAGCGGCACCGCTGCAAAGCGCAGCAGCGGACTCACTATCACAATGCCTGCTCGCCCTTTTTCAGCGTTCTTGTTGTGAAAATTATCTGTTCGTTGGCAGGTGCCGTTCGCGGCGCCGCAAGACGGATTCGGGTGTGAGAGGAGGGGATCGGGATCGGCCCTGGAAAGAGGGAGGCAGCGGTGCCCGTGCCGTGCTCGCCGAAAGCAGCAAGTCAGGGCGCAGGGGGCATGCGGCCTGCTTGGGGGAGAGGAGTGGGGATGGCTGCGGGGGAAGGGGCAGCGGCGCCCGTGCCATGCATGCCGAGAGAGGCAGGTCGGAGCGCCAGGCACGGAGTGCAGAAGAATAGCAAGTTGGAGGGTAAGCATCACAGCGCGAGGGGGGAGTGCTTCTGAAAGTGTGCGAATCGAGACTGGGAGTTGGTGGACCGAGGTGCCACGACGAGGGAACCAGAAAACGTGGTCGCAGGGCACGGCATGGCAGCTGAGTGGAGGGGAGGACGAGGCGGCGATGATGCAGGACGAAAGGGATGGGCCGAGGACCTCCATGCCAGAACATACCCTCTCGGATCTCCGCGCAAGTTTTCTGGATCTGCGCCGGCTGGCGCGCCCCGCGCGCGCGCCAGAGAGGGGCATCCAGGCGCCGATCCACGAAGCCTGCGCGGACCGCCGAGAGCGCAGGCGCATGCCCTGCGTTGCTCCCCGAGCGGGGGCCGCACGGACGAGAGTGGAGAGCGTGGCCCTCGCCCCCCTTGTTCCCGCCCCGCAGGCGGCGGCGGTGCGGCAGAGGAGCGGGCGGCGATCGAGGCCGCGAGGGAGGGCACGAGAGAGAGGGGCTCACGGGCAGGGCACCAGAGGCCCCTGGACCCCGCAGGGCAGGCCTCGCGCCGCGGCGGCGAGGCGGCGAGCCCGGCGCGGGCGAAGCTTCGAGGCTCAAGGTGTTTTTTCTTTCGCTTTCTAATGTTAAACATATATCACAGTATCTCTACATATACACAAATATATATATATATATATATATATATACATATATATATATACATGTATAGAGAGAGATTACCCACAAAAAAAGGTGTTCCTTCGTTTTCGTCGGTCCGCGGCGGTTTTCCAGCCCAGTGGCGCGCTCCAGCGGCTGCGCCTCGCCGAGATTGTTCGGGGGGGGCTCCGATCGTCCCGAACGGCCGCCGGAGAGCCGAGTTATGACCCGAAGACCGCCAGGGGATAGTTCGGAGCACCGCCAGTAGCCCAGAGCCGGCCGATCTCGAAGCATCCGTGCCATCGGAACACCGCGATCGTGCAAGGTTGGACGATCCACGCAGTGTCAGAAACCGGCGTCAGAAGTAAGCGCCCACGTCATCGCAGCGTGAGGCTTGCGCCGCATCGACGGGTTGAGGGTTGACGCGTCTTTGCGTTGTCTTGGGGGGCTCATTGGGAGTATGCTGGGGGCCTTGTGGCGGCTTAGTCGGGGCCTCCTGTGCTGTCTCAGGGTCCCCATCGGAGGCTTCGGCTCCTTGAGGACAGGGGGCGCGCTGGAAATTGCCCCCCCCCTGTGGGGGCGTCGCGGAGGCCCAAGCGAGCCAAACAGATGTCCTGGAGACGACAATTTGAAGACCCGAGATCACTTGGGCACGCAAAGTTGTGGGCAGACGAGGGGCAGGGGAAGAGGGGGTGTAATCAAGCCCTCCAGGGGCAGGCGTTCTCGGCCCTCCCCCCCGCTCCTCATGCTTAGCATCGCTCGGACGTGCGCATTTTTTCCCGGAGGGGACCATCGGGGAGCATCCTGTGCCGCTGCTCGAATAAATCAACGCACGAAGCCGAAAAGTGCAAGGAGACTGGGCGTCCTAGCGATGACAAGAATTCCGCCCAAGACAAAATCTCCAGGGGGCGGGGGGGAAGAGCCTCGGGATACACCTCCAGGTCATCCGCCGCCGAAAAGGCCAGCAGCATCAGCTCACGCTTTGCAGGGGTGCCGGCCCGTGTAAATCCCATAGGACTGTTCCGAGCAAGCATGTCATTGGATCCAGACCGAGACGGCGCTGATCCGCCCCGCTCCTCCTCCACCGCCCACGTCCACTCCTCTTTCCTCTCGTTTATGCCTCTTACCTCGCTCGCCGGAGACGGGCGGATCAGCGCCGTTCCGGCCTGGATCCAATGAATTGTTTGCTCGGAACAGTAGCGTGGGACTTACACAGGCCAGCCCACCTGCTCCCCCCAAACCAATCTCGGCCTCAGAATTATCAATTGGAAGACTGTGCTCCACCTCCGTTGACCGACCCTGCGCCGCCGACCCTGAAGGAGGACGACTAAGACGACGGCGACGACAACGACGCTCGCGAGCCCTCGTGGGGGCCCTTGCGGGCCCTGTTGGCCTGTGGACCCCCCCCGGGACCCCCTCCAGGACCGCCCCCAACGATCCGCTCCCAGGACCGCCCACCCCCTGGCGGGGAAGGGAACAAGGGCCTTCGCTTCGACGCGATTGGTGTTCCCCCTCTCGCGTCTCTGTGGGACTCTCTTGGGCCGTCTTGGTCGAAGGGGGTGGGGGTCACGACCCCGAGGACCCCACCCCCTCGGCGCGGGGAAGGGATCAAAGGGAAGAGGCTTTCCTTTGACTCGATTACGACGATGTTCGAATTTCGTCTGGCAGGGCCGCTAGAGGAGGAAACGATCTGTTGCCGTGCCGGAGCCAATCCTCTTCTCCTCGCGCTTGCTCTAGAGTGTTTTTCCCAGAGAAACCCAGCGCGCACGCAGGAGGGCCAAGGGAAAGGGGGAGAGTGGCGACGGCGACTCAAATGCAAAAACGTCTCACACGCGCCGACAGGGTCGGCGGATTTCTACTTGGGCGCCTGCGGTAAAGCCTGGTACGATGCCAGCGCGGCATTGTGCGTGGTGACGCGAAGGACGCGACATGTGGCAGCACGCGCCCATGGGCTCCAGAGGATCGCAAAATGTGACAGCTGTAATATTGAGGACCCAAAGCCGTAACATGTGACACGTCTATTCCGCAAATAGTTGTGGGGCGTTGCATGTATTAGCGAGTGGAAACATAACCCATAACGTCTTTCATGTGCCACGTGACATCGTACATGTGCCACGTGGCTTGTGACATGTCACATCGGGGATGTAGGCCTCCTCGGAGCTCGCTGCAGGGCTCCCTGGGAGCTTCTTCGGGCATCTTGGGAGTATGACCTTGAAGAGACTAACGGCCGTCTGAGGGTCGTCTCAAAGCAATTTGGAGGAGCCTGTAGCGCCTTGAGACCGCCTTGGGCCGGTCCTGGAGCTGGGCGGCATCGCGTCGTTCTGGAGGTTCTTGCGCCGTCCTGGAGCAATTGGGATGCCGCTTCGGGTCTCTTCGCAGCCGCTTGGGGGGAATTCTTCGGGCGGGGCTAGGATTAAGCCAGGCATGCCCCTCTACAGGAAGAAGATTCAAACATTACAACAAAAAGCAAAACATGTGAACGTTTTTCCTACCACGTATGATTAGTTTTGAATCTGCTTTGACTATCTTGCATTTTTCCTCCAAAATCCGCTTGTAGGAGGACATTCCCGACCTAAGGGTAGGACCGGGAGAAGTCTTTCCCAGAGCGTACCAGAGCGTTCTCTCAAGGCTTTCTGGAGCGCTCTCAGGAACGGCCGCAGTGCCCGACACATCTTCCAGAATCGCCAGATCTCAGAGATTCCCATCCAGATCCCCACCATCTTCCTCCTCCTCCTCCCTCTCCTCCTCCTCCTCGTCCTCCTCCTCCTCCTCCTCCTCCTCCAGATAGGGTTTGGTCTTATGTTGCCCCAGGGTGGGCGTCGTCTTAGTTCTGGGGCATCTGGGAGGCACTGAATACACCACGAGTGGAGAAACCCCTCAAACAAATTATTGCTGAGGCCTTACGGCCGGTGCCGCCAACCCTGGAGGCCTCGGCCTTCGACGGAAATGGGAGAGATAGGGCACTCCCGACACGCCCCGAGAGTGTGGCCCTACTGGAGAAAACACTAAAACGAATGATTATGTTTCGAGCAATCCCCAACGAAGCCTTCGGCTTGTGTTTCCGAGCCTGGTACTGTTCGTGAGTGTGGCCAGCCTTTGCTCCGCGCGCATGTCGCTGATGCATTATACTCCGTCACGTGGTGCTGTGCTCTGTTCTGTTAGATGCACATATGGTTCGTTCTGTTCTGCTCCCGACAGGGCTGCGTGACGTTCAATCGGTCGTTGCTGCGCCTGATTCGGTCCTGTAGCCAGCCTTACGTCGGCGTGAATGCTGTGTTTGACACGGCGCCATGAAACTGTCGCTGTTGCATCTGACAGTGTTCACCGATGTTTTATTCCATCATGTTCTAGCGTGTTATAGTATATTACGTTATGTTGTGTTCTCGACGGGCCGGCGTGACGTCGTGACGCTTGTCACGTGGGATACGCCGTCCAATCGGTCGTTGTTGCGCTTGTTTGTTTCTGTGGCCAGCCTGACCTCGGTGCGCACGTCGCGTTTGATTATTTTATGGTACGGCCGGTTATGTTTCGGTGTTCGTGTGATGAGACGCCGTGAAATGTCGGTTGCGTTATGATGGTGTGCTGTAGTCTGTTCGCTTGGAATACGCGTTAATGTTAGCTTCTATTATAGACGGGCTGTCGTGACGTCATGACGCCTGCCACGTTCGATATGTCGTATAGTCGTTCGTTGGTGCTCTTGATGTTGTTGTTTATTTATTTGGCCAGCGTGGGCTCGCTTCGCATGTCGCGTATGATAATGTGGCATTACTCGGTCTCTGTTGTTTTACACTTGGTGATGGTATGTTTGATTATGTTCTGGCCTATGCACACATGGTCTGTGCTGATCTGCTCTCGACGGGTCGGCTTGACGCCGTAGCGCTTGACACGTTTGATGTGTCGTCTAGTCGGTCGCTGCTGCATCGAACCGCCTCGAACTATGCTGTATCCTATCAGATTCATGTATGTTATACTGGATTGTGCTCTGTTGTGTTCGCGATGGGCCAGCGTGACGTCGTGATGCCTGTCACATTAGATGCGCCGTCAAATCGATCGGTGTTGCCTTTGTTTGTTCTTGCGGCCAAGCTGACCTCGGCGCGCACGTCGCGTTTGGCCAGATTAAGGCACGGCCGATAAGGTTATGTTGTTTCTCTTCATTGATGGTTCACTCTGCCATGTGCGTATTATGTTGTGATCAGTTATGGCATAAATTGGACTGCTAAATGATGGTGTGGTTATATGTTATGGTGTTATGTGTGATGCTGGTTACGCTAGACTCTGTGCATAATGTTATGTTATGATATGTTCAGGTCATGACATGCACAGTCAGTTGTGATACAATAGGTGATGATGTTTCATGTTCGTTGCCGTAGTGGTAGCAGTTGTACAACACGTGCGGAATGGTATGATGGTTACGTTGTGCACGGATCCGTATATTACGCTGTGTTATCTTACTGTGCGATACGTTGTTTAGTCTGTTGTGTTCGATTACATCCGTTTCCGCCGTGTTAGCAAGAGTACAACCTAGATGGCACGCTATGCTAGGAATGGCCATGATAGATCTTCTGTTGCTCCAGTATGGCATGCGGTACGTTGTGGGTCATGGTGTGATTCATGTTGTTTGATGGTGTGACATGTTACGTTGTGCTGCGTTATGGTATGGTATGATATGTTCTGTGCTTTCCTTTATATAATAGTATATGGTATGTCGCGCCGCTCCGTCATGGTATGATATGACATGTTGTTGTATGATAGGTTATGCATCGCTGTGTTATGGTATTGTCAAGTCTGTCGCGCTACGTTACGATATGCTATGTAATGCTTTGTTCTGGTA